TGTTTTTTTAGCAATTTCATATAATCACTAAGATAAAGTGCTTTAGTTTTTGTAAAAATTAAAATATCTCTTATCCTGAAGGTCACTTCAAACATGAATAACAATCAAAATTGAAAAATTGAGAATTTGTTCATAAAATTTTTGTACAGAACGGGCCCGTTTATGTAATTTTTCGTACATTTGCACCAGTTTTTTCCCATTTTAATAATGATAATTTTTTTTCTGTTTTCAATTTTAGAATTTTTTCCTTAAAATATACTAAATAAATCTAAAAATGACAAGAAAACCTCCATGCCTCCCTTTTTTCAAAAAAACAGTTGTCACAAGTAGTCGAATACCTTAATAATATCGTTTTAGTACCTACAAACATTTGCAAGTGTTTTTAGACCAAATAGTGATTTTTAGTGTTTTCATTCATTTAATTATTTTGAAAGATTGTTGCGTTATATCACTTGGTAACTGCGCTTCAGGTACATCCTGCTGCGATGAATAAATCTGCCCGTCTCGGTTATTGTCAGATTTTGCCACGCACAGTGATTTTCTATTATTATTAGAATGATTTAAAAAGCTTTACTAATTGTTCCAAAAAGGTCAGAAAGAAACATCCTGCATAAAGTTGGATTTGCTTCAATAAATAAGTTCGTGGGTAAATGTGAGCTTAACAGCTGTTCATCAAGCTATCAGTAAATTTAAAATTTCTGGAAATCTACGAACCTTTTAAGCGCTGACCAAGAAAAACCCTGCACGTTATGATCGGGTGATAAGATGGATGGTTGTACTATCTCCAACATCTCCTCTCAATAAGATTTGACTTTCTCTGGATTCAAAGGGCACCAATTTCAGTTTGAGCACTATTCTAAGATGTCTGACCATTGATTTTGGTTTATTATTCATAAATCAGCAAAGAAACCTTAAATATTAAACCTTGAAATATTAAATTTAAACGACTGATTTTTTAGATGATATCAGAATTACACACACGCACACAACTGTTGAATATGGTGTTATTTTCGTTGCCTAGTGTGCAGCAATTTTTATCATATGTGTTACTGGTATTCGCAGTTCAAATGGAAGAAGCTATACGACATACATGCAATTCAAACAGTAAAACATCCTCCAACCCAGATAGTACTGGGTGGGGCGTGGTAACTTCTTTATTTTGAAAATGCAATAAAACACACTACGTGTTTCATTCTACTTTATTATTTTACGCCTATCACACAACATTATAACTTTAAACTTACACAGTTTTAAACACAATTTCTGTTAAATGTCGCCCTCCATTATTAATACACTGATGCAGTCAATTTCGAAAACTTTAAGTCACCTTTTCAAGCATATAGACCAGGATATTTCCAGTTTCGACTTGGATGTGGTTTCGCAGGTCTTCAAGGATCTTGAAGCAATCTTTGTAAATCAAGGACTTGAGATAAGCCCACAGGAAGTAATCAGGAGGTGATAAATCAGGTGATCACGTAGGCCAATTTACGTTCCACGCAGGAAGATCAGTCATTCGGGGAAGGCTACTCTTAAAATACTCATGGAAACCCTGGAGTTGTGGGCTGTGGTCCAATCTCATTGTCAAGATCCCTTTCTTGGAGTGAGGGTAAAAAACTGTGTTGAATAATTGTCATATACCGATGTGAATTGACACACAAACTCGCTCCACATTTTCATGCGCTCTAACGGTCTTCAGAGGTATTTTCCTTTCTTTGGACCTACTCCCCATTGCTCGGAAGGCATCCATTCACATTAAAACACATTTCCAACCAGGAGGAACACGACTTCTTGGAGGAAATCGAAGTGACGACAAAAGACACGTTGCACTGCAACCACCCACCGACCGTTAAAGAAATAACGCCTCCACAGCAAAAGCACGTAGTTGCCTCGACCAAAAGGTATTTGAGGCTGAAACGGGCGGAAACACAAATATCTAACTCTATCTCTTCTCCCAAGCCCCTCCCCTATGAGCATCACTACAACATGTTCAAAACAGGAAGTCCACCAGCCGTATGAGGAGAGAACTATTCAATATCTACATTAATGATATACCTACTCACCCCCAAACTACCACTAATATTTATGCTGATGACACTGTCACTCTTGCAACATACAAAAATCACAGTACAATCACATTGGCACTCAATAACCACCTAAATCTTCTTCAAAATTATTTCGATACTTGGAAAATTAAAATTAATGCTGATAAAACAATAGCAGTCCTCTTCACCAGAAGGAAAACACAACCAACACCTCCTACACTCTACTCCACACAACTCCAGTGGTCTCAGAGCACCAAATACTTAGGATTGACTTTAGATATAAAAAAACCTCATTTGGAAACAACATTTAACTCAAACGCGAGATAAATTCCGGAAGGCTCTTAGAGCACTTTTTCCCCTAATTGGCCGGAATTCAGTATTGAATAAGTACAATAAGTTACTTCTCTACACTGCCGTTCTGCTTCCAATTTTGACTTATGGATCTCCTGTGTGGGGTTATGCTGCAGATTCTAATATTAAAATTATCGATATTGCTCAGAACTCATTGATTTGAAACATCGTTAAAGCTGATAGATACACTAGAAATTCAAAAATTTATGAATATATTAAAATTCTACCTTTTAAAAACTACATTCAAAAAAAAACTGGTTATTTCCTTTTTTAATAATTTACCTCTAATATCAATAACGACAATGTTAAAATGCTTAATAACTATATTCCAGAGCCAGATATCAAGAGACCTAGGAGAATTCTCCTAGACTCGTATAATCCCCCCTAACATTCAATTTAGTCACTCGCCGGGTGGCGAGTGACCACAATCCTTGCTAAATTTTTAATAATTTTATTTTTCTGTTTTAATTTCATTTTCTTTTAATTTCTTAACTTTTTTACTTAATTGCAACCCCACACAGGCTAGTTTCTTAGACCTCCCTTTTGACTTGTTCCAACGCATCAGTGCAGCCAATTAAGTGCCTACTCTCACAGTACCATAGACCAATCACAGCAGGTCCTTTCAGACATCTTCAGGACATTCCCGCCGAAACCGTATAGAAGAACAACTCTGTTCCTGTAACCACGCCTTCTTCCCAAGTTCGATCCACCAATAAGGACACTCTTTCTTAGGCAGGCCCACCCACATCAGGCCACATCAACAAACTCGATATGGGATGGAGGAACGCTTCGCATTCCATTTGCCAGTGACATCCAGCGTCGTTCGTTCCGTATGAGGAGCAATGTCTGCAATTAGGCATTGGATCTCTATATTTCCTGCCACCTACCAGGAACAGAGCTCGACACTTTAACATTGTTTTAGAGAAGTTGCAGCAAAACACGGATGCTTAATTTTCATGTGCAATGGGTCTCCGTGTTTCACTGCAATGGTTGTTGATTATTAACTGAGGGCAGAGGAAATGTAAACCCCTTTACTGAACCAGTAATAGCACTGATTTAAATCTCTTCGACAATTTGGGGTGTATTATGAAAAATAAAGGCGTGAAAAAATAACAATCCAGAACTATGAATTTTAGGACGATTGGTGTACAGAGATTTCTAAAGCTTACTGACAATCTGTTAATTATCCCGTGGCTAACAGGATTGTTTCAGGGATTAAAACAAAGGAGGGGCTACAAAATATTGACTTTACTTATGAGTCTACTTTGCTCTTTCACTAAATATTCTGTTGATGTAGAATTCTAATTAATCTAATTTTTTGTGAGTAGTCTTAAACTTTAAAAAACGGTTGTAGAATGTAAAATATTTTTATTTTGCATTCTAAATTTCAATCTGTTGTCTCAAATTTAGTAAAAGAGTACCTTTAGAATGCACTATTTAAAGAGAATGGCACACTTTTAAGAAGGAAGATTTCCACGTGTGCAATGGGAAAAACTCTTTATGACAAAAAAAGAACTGAAAAAACTGGATAATGGATTCTAAACAAAGAGAGAGAGAGAGCACGAAAGCTTTGAGACTAACGAAAATGCTTATATTTAAAATTGATTCTGACAAAAATTAAGAATGAATTCCTTCTTCGTTTTAAAATCTTGCTTCACATGTAAGTTACTAAGAATAAGAAAAATTTAAAAATGCGCATTTATAATAAACATTTATTTTTAAAGTATTAATCAAAGCCCTGTTAAATTTCTTTTAGATACCTTAATAAAAGTGGTGTTATTTAGTTTTAGGAAATCCATAAGAAAATCTTTTAAATAATATGTTTTTGAATTTTTAGATAACCCAAATGGAACTGTTTTTATGCTAGTGCAGAAAACATTGAAAATGTATTTAAAATATCCACTGCGAGTTTTCAAATTTTGTGTCAGAATATTAAATTTTGAAAGAGTTTTTCATTAGACGCTAAATATTATAACGTCTCTATCGTCTTTATATTTACGAAATGGATTTAAAGAGTATAATTATGGATAATTTAAAGAGGCTTTAGCTTAATAAATATTTGTTTTGAATTCACATTTAGGGAAAAAATTCACCTAAATATGCTCCAATAAAGTCTACTTAGATAAATATAAATATGTAATAAAAATAAATGATTAAAAAGGTTAAACTTGTTCCAATTTTCAATCGTTAAAATACTTTTTATTTATCCGCTCAAGTACAAATATACTTTTTCAAACTTGTAGTGGATGACACTTGATGTTAATACAGTTTTTTTAATATTAATTCATTGTTTTTTAATTAATGAATAAATAGTAACAAACAAATAATATTCCAACACCATATATGAAAAGAAAAATCCTGTAGCATATCCTATATTTTAACTCACTAGATGGTAGCACCTTACAATAAAGTGTTCATCTAGAATAGTACTAGTTTTCTCCGCTAGGGTTGCAGTATATATATACGTTGTGCTCATGGGTAATCTCTCTCTCTCAACACTCGCAGATGATTTAGAACATGTGTCTATAATAAAGTTAAAGTTGTTAAGTTTTATCCGATTGCATCCTGATTGAACATTAACGCAACATATCCTTCAATCCCACGAGTGTTCCTGTGGCGAAATGGATAGCGCATTGGATTTGTAATCCAAAGGACATGGGTTCGAATTCCACCTGGGATGACCTAATGTCTGTGAATGTGATTTCGTTTTACTATTTTATTTTATTGGAATAACTAAATTTAATTAGTGAATAAATAATAACAAACAAAAGTAATAGTCAAACACCATATAAAGAAAGAAAAAAATCGTTTTTTATTTTGCCACTTAATAGTGTGATCCTATCATATGTATATAAAGGGTGTTTTTTTAGAGGTATAGAACTTTAAATTGCAATAAAACAACGATGTATTATTCGATTGACATGAATTTTTTTATTCGAAATATAATCTTGTGGCATTACATTTTCAATATGATTTCTGGCATAGGACTGCCACGGCTGGCTCGGATGTAGTCCAATCGGGACGTCCAATTTTCGATGACTTTTTCCAACATTTGTGGCCGTATATCGGCAATAACACGGCGAATGTTGTCTTCCAAATGGTCAAGCGTTTGTATCTTATCCGCATAGACCAATGACTTTACATAGCCCCACAGAAAATAGTCTAGCGGTGTTAAATTACAAGATCTTGGAAGACAATTCACAGGTCCAAAACGTGAAATTAGGCGGTCACCAAACGTGTCTTTCAATAAATCGATTGTGGCACAAGCTGTGTGACATGTTGCGCCGTCTTGTTGGAACCACAGCTCCTGGACATCATAATTGTTCAATTCAGGAATGAAAAAGTTAGTAATCATGGCTCTATGCCGATCACCATTGACTGTAACGTTGTGGCCTTCATCGTTTTTGAAGAAGGATTCCACCAGCCCATAAAGCGCACCAAACAGTCAGTTTTTCTGGATGTAACGGTGTTTCGACATACACTTGTGGATTAGCTTCACTCCAAATGCGGCAGTTTTGTTTGTTGACGTAGCCACTCAACAAGAAGTGCGCTTCATCGCTTAGCAAAATTCGCTTATGAAAATCGGGAACAACGGCAATCTCGTTTTGGGCCCATTCGATGAATCTACGCCTTGCTTGATGATCGTTTTGATGAATTGCCAAACCAACCTGAGAATAAATCACTTGACAGCTGTTAAATCGGTCGCCATCTTGGAAAGTAATACCAACTTAAACTTCTATACCTGGAAAAAAACACTCTTTACATTTTTATATTAATTGTAATTATTTAATAAAAACTAACTATAATAAAATTTTTCGTTTTTGATCTGAGTAAGATTTGACTTCAAAAAAATTGACTACTTGTTTTTAAATCAAAACCTCGACATAGTTTCTGGCAATCTTTCATTTTCTTTTCAGAATAGCCAAGACTTTTCATAAAGCGACTTTTTATATCTTATATTACTTTTCACTAGTATTTTCTAGCTTTGCTTCTTTCATTTCATTTCCGTTTCTACACCTGGTATACAAAGTAAAAGCTATTTCGAGGGGAAAAAACTAGTCCGTTATTGCAAGACTTGCACACCGAAATAGGAAGTAGGCGCTAAAAGAGAAGAAAATAGCTAAAATTACCTTTTCATAACCGGGAATCTAAAAGAAACGAGTTGAAAAGTATTTTTCGAAACATGCCATTCATGTATTCAAGAGATTTCAAGTGCCGAAACATGAGAACAAACTCTTTTTACCATTACTATCTTTTTACTACTACAAATTGCGAATAGTTTCAAAAAATAAGATAAAAATGAAAAATTATTGTACTTATATTGTAGTTGAACGTTTTTATTTTTATTTCCTTCAATTTTCATTTTATTTTTCTTGCTTAGTATGCTAAAAGCTAAATATTTTTTTCTTTTTACATTCAGTGAGATTTACTAATGTCCTTTTATTGAGCAAAAGATCATTTACGTCCATTTAATGGTTTTTAAATGGCTGAATTGAGTGACACTAAAAAGAGAACGTAGATTTTTTTTTAATATTTACTATTAGCTTATAGTGATGTTCTTTGTAACATGCATTTAAATCCATGTATTTGGTTTTTTTAAATATAATTTTCCTGCCTAGAATTTTATTAGTCGAAACCTTCCACGTAATGCGACACAATAAACTCAAACGACCTTTTCTTGATACGAGCTCTTTATTTTAATGTAATATATTTTAAGATAATTCTTTTAAGTAAGGTATTTTCATAGTGTTGTTTATTGAAAATAAAAGTTAAGATAGAAGATTTTTGTTTGACATGTTTATCACAATTTAAACTATGTTTATAAATTATATTTTTATTCTGTCTGAAAATAGAACGTAGAATTCTAAGTATTATTTATAAACGTACGTTTAAAAATATTACAATACAGCTTTATTGTAATCTATTATAATAAATTAATGTAAATGTTTCTAAAATTCTTCAATTATTTTAAAGTCAATGACTTTAAAAATATCTTCCTGGGACTATTATAATTTTGTGAAAAGCTATTGGGAAAAGAAGTTTCAAATGCATTTCTTTTTATGTAGTCCATTTTCATTTGAAAAAATTAAATATAGTACTACATTTTTATGCATGGAAGAAACTGTGTATTTTTTCCCATTTATAACGTTAACTCAGTATACAAGCAAATACTGAAAAGAAAAATTTGCTTTTAAAACTTCGGAAAAATATAAATCTCTTATTTCGCACTCCTTCGAAATACTCTTAATTATATAACTCGTAGATATAGCAGTAATTTTTTCAAATAATTTTTAATTAATGATTTGCTTAAAATAATCAGGATTGTACATAAAAAATAAAATTGCGTTGAAGAATATCTACAAAAAAGTAAATTTTAGATTATTTCAACATCGTTTTTCCATTTCTATAATCCTATTTCAGAACAGAAAATTAAATATTATATTCTATAAGACAATCTATATCTTCATTTTTACCATTCTGTCAAAAAGAGAATGTAAGCAAAATCAACATAAAAAAAATATTTATTTTTAATAAATATCGTCAGCATCATGCATAAATAATTACACGTATGAGAATTATTTTCAACAAATATCGTCTTAACTCACAAAGTAAAATAAATATTTAAATATTAATCTGTTCTAATAAATTTTGACTATCTTGCAAGTATTTTTATTTTAATTCTAGTAATCTAAAACACGCTTGGCATTAGAAACTGAAATATATTCTGCTAGTTAATTAATGTGAAAATATAATATGCAAATCTTATAAATACTAACTCAGAAATTTCACTGAAATTAATTATATTCTATATATAATGTTATCTTTCTCAAATATCATCATAAATATGAACCAAAAATGTAAGCACATTTCATTATTTTTCATTCCGTTACTTTTTCAAACATAAAGTTAAGAATTATATATTAGATAAAAAGTAAGAATAAAAAAAAGTACCGTAAAATCCGGCGTATAACACGCGCCCATACTTTATAGCTGTAATTTTTAATTTTTAGATTCATTCGCCGTATAACACGCACACCCTTTTTTTACGAAGAAAACTGAAATGAATGCATGCAATGCTCTTATGTTTTGAAGTCATTTAATCGAGGTATTATCCCAGGCTTTAAAAAAAATAGTACACTTCTAGAAATACAACACATTAAGCTCATAAGAAAAGTCATTTCTTTAAAAAAAAAACAGTGTTTTGATGTATATCGAAGTCTAATTTTTTTTCTATGCTCATTTTTTTTTCATTTTTCAAGCTCTCATTTTTATACCAGGCATATAACGCGCGCCCGTAAAATTCGATCTTATTTTCTGTGTTCAAAGTGCGCGTTATACGCCAGATTTTACAGTAATTAATAATAACTAGCTGCCTTGCACGGATTTTCTATACTTTTATAAATTTTCCCTTTCCTTCACAAAATCAGCACTTCTCTAATACTCTTTTTCAAAATGACTTCCACCCCCTCCACCACTTAGCCCGGTGTTTCTCTGGCTTTCTCTTTTCCTCATGACACCAGCATTTCTGTATGTGTGTTAATACGCGCACAATGTAAGTGATTTCTAAAATTATGTCAAAAAATTTCCCTTTTTCGAAATTTGCTCCATTCCACTTATTTTTGATTTAAGACAGGTTTCTTTCCCCTCTCTACAGCCCGAACACTATTTTTTAAGAGTAAATTTATTGTTCTATCTTCCCTCCTTCTCACAGATAAGATGTAACTTTAAATTTCGATGTATGACTTATAAAAAAAATATTGCCATAGAATTAAAAAATTATTAATGTGAAGCAATAAAAAGAAAACGATTCTGATGCTAAGAGTAAAACAAAAAACGTTCATCATTTTTTAATAATAGTTAGTTTCTAAGAATCTCAAATAATAAAATGTATAGATTTCAGATTTTCATGACTCAATCAATCGTTACATATAGTTAGCTTAAAAATGTCTCTAAAATGTATTTTGATCAAAAATAACAGATGTTGTACTTCATAATTAACAAAGAATTCATTTAGTAATGAAATAATAGAAATAATCCTTTTAAAAAAACATATATATAATTATTAAAATCAAATTTCTATAAGTAATAAATAAAATAAAAATTTACAGATAGCTATTGAAACGATTGCTTTTTTCTAAACGTTTGAATGTTTGATTAAACATATAAATATATATAAGTTAGAAAAAAACTGTATGAGGGAAAGAGTATATATATGTAGGATTTTCGCTTTGAAACATTTGTTAAAAGGTTGAGTCATATCCTTTTCAGAGGACCCTAAATCTCAATTTTATTTATTACTGCATTCCGAAGCAGCGCCATCTAATGAGCTTTCGTAGCTCCAGCTTGAATAATTTTTCGGCAGAGGCCAACTAACCACTGCTAGTTCAACACGTCGCGTCTTTACCGCATTTTCGCGCCCTGCGCACACCACCAGTTCTAACATCCAATAATGATAAAGGTTTATTTCCCCGTCTTCTAAAGGTATAACTCAACTTTTAATTAACCTAATTCCTGCATGTCTTTCTCTTTATAAATATCCCCTTTTGTAAATATTTCCCTTTAACTCTTTAAATAAATTCTCTTTTACTTTGAAGTATTTGTGTTTCAATGACTTAGATTAAATTAATAATTCATCATTCACCCTTAAATACTTACCCCTAGACAAACCACCTCGCCAAT